CTAGTTGGGGTTTAGTCCAAATCTGCATCCTTTCCTTCAAGGCTCAGGGGTCCAGGATTATCTTCTGTGTCTGTATTAATTGGTTTCCCTTTTCTTTGTTGAAGAGGGTCTGTGCAATCCTTCTGCCTAGTCCGCCATCTTGCCCCGCCTCCCATGCCATGGTATTTTTAAGCACCACTTCTGCATGCAAAAGCTGGACAATGAATAAGGAAGACTGAAGAATTGAAGCATTTGAATTATGGTGTTGGTGAAGAATGTTGAATATACCATGGACTCTCAGGAGAATGAGCAAATCTGCCTTGGAAGAAATACAGCCAGAATGCTCCTTAGAAGTGAGGATGGTGAGACTTTGTCTCATGTGCTTTGGTCATGGTATCAGGAGGGACCACTCCCTGGGGAAGGACATCATACTTGGTAGAGGATTAATGAAAAAAAAAGATGACCCTCAATGAGATGGATTCACACAGTGGCTGCACCAAAGGGCTATGTATAATAGCAAGGATTGTGAGCATGGTGCAGGAGTAGGTAATGTTTCATTTTGCTGTACATGAGGTCACTATGAGTCAGAACTGATTCAATGGCACCTAACAATAACAATGACAATATGCTTGTGACTCAATCAGTAACCCATTCCAGTTGGGTTTTCGTTTGATCAGGGGTCTTAAGTGAAAACAAATGGCTGAGTTGGTGAGGTGCATCTTAAGGCATGCAGGGCCTCTGACTTCCATGATCTCATTTTAGCATAGATTAGTTTGTTGGAAGTCCTGGGTCCAGAGAGCATGCTCTCAGAGAACAATTGGGGAATCCGTCATTTCTTTGACGGTGGGGTTGGCACCATGGTCCTTTGAGGCTGTCCCTGATAGTAGGAGAAGGTGCCAAATACAAATCTCACTTACTCCTTGTCTATCTTAGAAAGCATTGTTCTTTATTCATAAGTGTGTTTTCGTTTTGTACACAGGCAGTATGTCAGCTGAAACACCAATCACACTGAGTATCGATCCTCAGGATCTGCAGGTCCAAACATTCACTGTTGAGAAGCTACTGGAACCTCTCATTATCCAGGTAAAATTGCAGCAGGCAGTAACTGAAAGAGAATTTTAAAAAGTGAGAAAAATAGATAATGGACAAAGGAAAGATTTGATTTCTAGACATGAATATGTCAACCAGAATTGTCCTATTTTACTTAAAATATTTAAATATAAAAGTATATATTTAGTAGTAGTAGTAATAGTAATAATTATTATATATATATACAAAATAATAATTGTTGTTGTTGTTATGTGGCATCAAGTCGGACCCAATTCATAGCAACCCCTCCCTGGGTTTCTGAGGCGATATCACTACGGAAGTAGATTGCCCAACCTTCCTTCTGAGGAGTGGCTGGTGGGTTTGAACTGCCAGCCTTCTGGTTACCAGTCAAATGCCTTAGGCACTATGTTAATAATACTAACAATAAATCTTTGAAAGTTTTACCCCAGATTCTCTCATAACAGGAAAAGTAGTAATAGTATATATATAATTATAAAATATGATATACATTTCTCTGTGTATTATAATGTATATTGTATACAATAAATGTTATTATATATATGTGATTATCCACCACTTGTCTGTCAGTTTGTCCTACTGTGGTGGCTTGTGTGTTGCTGTGAGGCTGGAGGCTATGCCACTGGTATTTCAAGTACCAGCAGGGTCACCCATGGTGGACAGGTTTCAGCGGAGCTTGCAGACTAAGACAGACTTGGAAGAAGGAAGGGGCCATCCACTTCTCAAAGATTTGTCCAGTGAAGACCTTATGAATAGCAGTGAAACACTGTCTGATGTATTACTGGAAAACTTTATGAATAGCCTGGAAACATTGTCTAATATAGCACCAGAAGATGAGCCCTTCAAGTCAGAAGGCACTCAAAATACGGCTGGGTAAAAGCTACCTCCTCCGAGTAGAGAGCCAACCTTAATGATGTGGATGGAGTAAAACTTTTGGGACCTCTGTTTGCTGATGTGGCACAACTCAAAATGGGAAGAAACAGCTGCAAACTTCCATTAATAATTGGGATATGGAATGTATGAAGTATGAATCTAGGAAAATTGGAAGTTGTCAAAAATGAAATGGAACACATAAATATTGATATCCTAGGCATTAGTGAGCTGAAATAGAGTAGTTTTGGCCATCTTGAATCAGGCAACCATATGATCTACTATGCTAGGAATGACAAATTGAAGAGGAATGACATGGCATTCATTGCTACAAAGAATGTTTCAAGATCCATGCTGAAGTACAGTGCTGTCAGTGATAGGATAATATCCATACACCTACACGGACGACCAGTTAATACTACTGTTATTCAAATTTACGCACCAACCACCAAAGCCAAAGATGAGGAAAATGAAGATTTTTATCAACTTCTGCAGTCTGAAATTGACAAAATATGCAATCAGGATGTGTTGATTATCATTGATGATTGGAATGCAAAAGTTGGAAACAAAGAAGAATCACTGGTAGTTGGAAAATATGGCCTTGGTGATGGAAATAACACTGGAGATTGCATGATAGAATTTTGCAAGACCAGTGACTTATTCATTGCAAATACCTTTTTTCAGCAATACAAATGATGGCTATATATGTGGACTTTGCCAGATGGAGTACACAGGAATCAGATAGACTATATCTGTAGAAAGAGGTGATGGAGAAGTTCAGTATCTTCAGCCAAAACAAGGCCAGGAGCTGACTGTGGAATAGACCATCAATTGCTCATATGCAAGTTCAAGTTGAAGGTGAAGACAATAAAAGAAGTCCATGAGAGTTAAAATATGACCTTCATTATATCCCACCTGAATTTAGAGACCATCTGAAGAATAGATTTGATGCATTGAACACCAATGACCGAAAACCAGAGGAATTGTGGGATGACATCAAGAACATCATCCATGAAGAAAGCAAAAGGTCACTAAAAAGACAGGAAAGGAAGAAAAGACCAAAATGGATGTCAGAAGAGACTCTGAAACTTGACCTTGAACAGAGAGTAGCTAAAGCATATGGAAGAAATGACAATATAAAAGAGTTGAATGGAAGATTTCAAAGAGTGGCTCAAGAAGACGAAGTCAATTATTATAATGAAATGTGCAAAGACCTGGAGTTAGAAAACTAAAAGGGAATAACAAGCTTGGCATTTCTCAAGCTCAAAGAACTGAAGAAAAAAATTCAAGCCTCGAGTTGCAATATTGAAAGATTCTATGGGCAAAATATTGAATGGTGCGGGAAACATCAAAAGAAGATGAAAATAATACACAGAGTCACTATACCAAAAAGAATTGGTAGATGTTCATCCATTTCAGGAGATGGCATATGATCAAGAACCAATGATATTTAAGGAAGAAGTCAGAGCTGCACTGAAGGAATTGGCAAAAAATAGGGCTCTGGGAATTGACAGAATACCCATTGAGATGTTTCAATAAACAGATGGTGTGCTGGATGCACTTACTTCTCTATGCCAAGAAATTTTGAAGACAGCTACCTGGCAAACTGACTGGAAGAGATACATATTTGTATGCATTCCAAAGAAAGATGATCCCACAGACTGTGGGAATTATCGGACAATATCATTAATATCACATGCAAGTAAAAGCTTACTGAAGATAATTCAAAATGGTTGTGGCAGTATATTGATAGAGAACTTCCAGAAATGCAAGCTGGGTTCAGAAGAGGATGTGGAATGAGTGATATCATTGCTGATGTCAGATGGATCTTGGCTGAAAGCAAAGAATACCAGAAATATGTTTACTTGTGTATTGACTATGCAAAAACATTCAATTGTGTGGATCATAACAAATTATGGATAACATTGAGAAGAATGGGAATTCCAGAACCCTTGATTGTGGTCATCAGGAACCCATACATAGACCAGGAGGCTGTCATTTGAACAGAACAAGGAGATACTGCATGGTTTAGAATCAGAAAGAGTGAATCAGCGTTGTATCCTTTTGCCATACTTATTCCATTTGCTGAACAAATAATCTGAGTAGCTGGACTACATGGAGAAGAACGTGGCATCAGGATTGGAGGAAGACTAATTAACACTGATATTCGCAGATGACACAACGTTACTTGCTGAAAGTGAAGATGACTTGAAGCATTTACTGATGAAGATTAAAGACTTCAATCTACGGCATGGATTACATCTCAACATAATGGAAATGAAAATCCTCACAACTGGGCCAATAAACAGCATCACAAAAACGGAGGAAAGATTGAAGTTGTTAAAGATTTTATATTACTTAGTTCCACAATCAATACCAGTGGAAGCAGCAGTCAAGACATCAGACTGCTAAATCAAAATCACCAGTTAAGGAAGATGGGGTTTGCTTTAGTCAAATATAATACTATAGCAGTTAGTAGAAATTATTCTGGGTTAATTCACATTAAATAGTATACTATTCTCAGGGTGTGTGTTTTGTGACATGCTCTAGAACTGTTATAACCATATATAAACATTTACTAAGCCTACCTAAAAACTTAAAAGAGTAAATGACCTGAAGCAATTTTCTTTGATTGGAAAGAAATTTAACTCTTATTTAGTGTAATTATGCTAATTTCAGAGGGCTTTTGATGTGGTATCTGGTGTAATTGCTAATTTTATCTTCCCTAAGATTGATGTCAGTGATCTTAAACATGCTTATTGCTTTTCTTTTTAAAACTGTTTGATATTTCACTAATATTCAGCTACTAAAAAAAAAAATTCTGGGATTTAACAATCAGCATTCAAGTCAAATTCAATTAAAACTATTAATGATGTATAGAGTACTATGTGCAGAATCATCTCATAAAGCAAAATTCTAGTACAACAAAAATATTTGGATACACATTGATTTTCATAGTAGTGGAATTCTCCTTTTTGTAAACCACTGTGTGTCAAAGTCTGAGTTATTAATTTTAAATAATTGACCTTTTTAGATTTGATGTTCAACTTTCTTGTATTTGTATTTGGATCTGCCACCTATCAGTACAAGTAAGAGATGTTGTTAAATTATATTAAAGGTAATTTTTCTATAATGTCATGCTAAATGTCTCATCATATTGTTTTAATTTTTTTCAACAGTGTTTAGTTTGAAATAGCTACATGGTTTATTTTAAGTATACAATATAGTTTTCAATTACACTGAAAATAATCCAAAAGAAGTTCATTATCCTTAAGTTCATACTGTTGTCATATAATGTTATTAATTTAGTAGCTCTGTTAAAAAATTCTCACTCATTATTTATCTTGTTACATTCCTTTGTATTCAAGGTTTCACAGAAATTATTTACCACATCTGTATATAACTCAAAGTCAAAATTACATTTTAATTTTTGGAGTAATTGGTCATAGATACTACTATGTCAGCATAAATTCATTTATTCATAAATATTTATTCTGCTCTTTTTATAGTTATCAAGGTCTTCCCTATAAACCCTAATTTATCTCTAATCTTTTTTTTTCCTCTCTTAGGCACAGGTAAATCACTAGATCATCTTGCAGTGATGTTCAGCCTGGGATATATTTCAATCATTTGCTTTTATTTTCTCTGTTTGATAAGTTCCACAGTTGCATCCCTCTGTAATAAATCCCTCCAATGGATCAGAAATAATTTTTTTTTTCTCAGCAATTACATTTTTATGATTGTAGCTGTAGACATCTGTACTTTATCACTTTCAAGATCCATGTTTGGCAATGCAGGGCAGAAAGTCTTTATGCAGAGTTATGCTTAAGAGATTTCACATCTCTAGGTTGTGTATACTCTGAAGAATATAAACTACTAGCTCATGCTATAGTCTTACATAATGGGACTATCCATAGTCTTATTTGCCACAGAGTATAATTTGCTATATGCCAGATTCATGTTAGATGTGAACTAAGAGAATTTACTTACTCAAGACATCTTAAAAAAACCCAACAGATTTCTTATAATGTGTTATCCCCTATAAAGTTGGTTTTGGATGAAGGTTCAAATGGATTTTTGCATATAAATATATCAGAAATGTTCTCAAGTGGTAAACGTGGAGTTGGATCAACAGTAGTGAAGAT